GTAAAATTCTCTTACTTTTAATAATATTTCTGTATTATTTATTTAACATTTAGTCAGTTGTACACTTAGTACTTTTCAGTGTTATAAGAGGCTGTGTTAAAACACTATTTAGTCAAAGTTAAACATGAAACATCTAAATTAATTACAACTGGCCCTTTGAGGGCCACCATAATGCTCATGTGGCCCTCAGTGAAAATGAGTTTGACACCCCTACTGTAGAGCACCTTCATGTGTTTTTAATGGTCTTATAAAAAGATTACCATTTCTCAATATTTAAGAAATGAAAACATTTACAGTACAGTGTCTCGGGGGGAAAGCAGTTCACCACCAACACTGGTGGGGATGGTGCGCTGCTGACCTCAACTCGGGACGTTGTGAGTCAGTGGGCAGAATACTTCAAAGACCTCCTCAATCCTATCGACATGTCTTCCCATGAGGAAGCAGAGCCTGAGGACCTTGGGTTGGACTCTCCAATCTCTGGTGCCGAGGTCACCGAGGTGGTTAAAAAGCTCCTCGGTGGCAGGGCGCCAGGGGTGGATGAGATTCGCCCGGAATTCCTTAAGGCTCTGGATGTTGTGGGGTTGCGTTGGTTGACGCGACTCTACAATATCGCGTGGACATTGGAGGCAGTTCCTCTGGATTGGCAGACTGGGGTGGTGGTCCCCGTATTTAAAAAGGGGGCTGCAGAGGGTGTTCCAACTATAAGGGGATCACACTTCTGAGCCTCCCTGGTAAGGTCTGTTCAGGGGTCCTGGAGAGAAGGGTCCATCGGTGTGTCGAATCTCGCATTCAGGAAGAGCAGTGTGGTTTTCGTCCTGGTCATGGAACAGCGGACCAGCTCTACACCCTCAGAGTTCATTCAAGCAGTCTACATGTGTTTTGTGGACTTGGAGAAGGTATTCGACTGTGTCCCTCTGGGACTCCTGTGGGGGGTACCAGGCCCTTTGATACGGGCTGTCAGGTCCCTGTACGACTGGTGCCAGAGTTTGGTCCACATTGCCGGTAGTAAGTTGGACTCATTTCTAGTGGGAGTTGGACTCCACCAAGGCTGCCCTTTGTCACAGATTCTGTTCATAACTTTTATGGACAGAATTTCTAGGTGCAGCCAAGGTGTTGAGGGGATCATTTTTGGTGACCTTGGGCTCACGTTTCTGCTTTTTGCGGATGATGTGGTCCTATTGGCTTCACCAGATCGTGATCTCCAGCTCTCACTGGAGCGGTTCGCAGCCGAGTGTGAAGCGGCCGGGATGAGGATCAGTGCCTCCAAATCCGAGACCATGGTCTTGAGCTGGAAAAGGGTAGGCTGCCTCCTCCGGGTCGGGGAGGAGGTTCTTCCCCAAGTGGAGGAGTTTAAGTATCTCGGGTTCTTGTTCACGAATGAGGGAAGAATGGAGCGGGAGATCGACAGGCGGATTGGTGCTGCATCTGCAGTGATGCGGGCGCTGTACCGGTCTGTCGTGGTGAAGCGAGAGCTGAGCCAAAAGGCAAAGCTCTCGGTTTACCGGTCGGTCTACGTTCCCACCCTCATCTATGGTCACGAACTTTGGGTAGTGACCGAAAGAACGAGATCGCGGATACAAGTGGCCAAAATGTTTCCTTCGCAAGGTGTCTGGGCTCTCCTTTAGAGATAGGGTGAGAAGCTCAGTCATCCAGGAGGGACTCAGAGTAGAGCCGCTGCTCCTCCACGTCGAGAGGAGCCAGTTGAGGTGGTTCATCTGGTTAGGATGCCTCCTGGACGCCTCCCTGGTGAGGTGTTCCAGGCACATCCCACTGGGAGGAGGCCCAGAGGAAGACCCAGGATATGCTGGAGGGACTATGTTTCTCAGCTGGCCTGGGAACACCTTGGGATTCCCCCGGACGAGCTGGCCCAAGTGGCTGTGGAGAGGGAAGTCTGGGTCTCTCTGCTTAGGCTGCTGCCCCCGTGACCCTACCCCGGATAAGTGGCAGAAAACGGATAGACGGATGGAGAAAAATATTGCTTAAAGATTCTAACTTTGATTTAATCTTTCTCGAAATTTCAGAAATCTAAGCATTTTCTGCAAAATTTTGAAATGTGATGTAACATTTCTTCCATATTGAGTCTGAAGGAGAACATAAAGAGAAAAACGATTCACTCAAGCATTGAACCATAAAGAACTTAAGACAGAAACTGAAGATGACGCCCAGGCTAACTGAAAAACTCAGACCTAAGCCATTTTAGATCATAACAGCCTTTAGAGAATTAAAGCTCTGAGCAAAAGCATTTGACCACTAGGACAGCTCWTTATACATAGTAGTTAAAGCTTATCGGGAGTTATATTAGCTCACCATCTGGGGGTGGGCTGTCCATTGACATGACTTCCTGCTGCTGAGTGATTGGCGGCGGCCTTTTTCGTAGGGAGCCCCGCCCATCAGTACYGCGCTGCATTTCAGCCAGACGCTTCACTGCCAGCATCAGCTTCTTCTGGTGACCTTCAACAGTGGAATATTAGAGTTCCGCTTGATTAATCAAAATACACTTGACATCACATGGTAACATCAAAACATAGCAAAAAATATTCACCATAATGTCAGCATTAGTGACAATAGTATCATGTTTGAATGGATATTTTACCAAGTTTGGTGATGCCTATTTCCTGTAGGTCTTCCCAGGTGATGTCTGTGATAAAGTCGATGTTTTCATAGCCGTTCTGCACCAGTACTTGGTGGTACTGGCTTAGACCAATAGCAGTCAACCACTCTCCGAGGCTGTTCTGTAGAAACACCAGAAAGATGGCTGCTCATTAAGTTCAACAATGGAATTTTCTTTTTAAATTTTATTTATTTAAACCTTTATTTAGCCAGGTAGATCCCATTAAGATTAAAATCTCCCTTTCAAAATAGACCTGGTTGTTAATGGCAGCAGCGATTAATAATTTCCAATCCTACCCTAATTATCAGAACATAATTAAAATACATAAGTGGCAGAAGTAAAAAAAGAAAAATAAGTCAATTACTCATCTATAAAGCTGACAACTATCAAYATCAGTTAAAACGTTTACAAACACGTCTTTTACGAATTCATTAAGAATGGCCTTAAAAACATTCAAAGAGACCAATTCCTTCAATTTCAAGTCTTTCTGCAGTTGATTCTAGTCTGAGGGAGACAAAATTTAAAATGAAATATTTTTTCCCATAATCTGTACAAACCTTCGGTGCAGTTTTTAAAAGTAAATCATCAGAGTGCAACCATGTAGGATAGGAGATAAGGAGAATTAACCATTTGTAGTTTTGTTTTTCARATGATCTAAATCAGAGGTGCCCAAAGTGGGGCCCGCGGGCCAAAATTGGCCTGCCAAGCCATTTGTTTTGGCCCAACAGCAGTTGTCCTGGTTATTAGAAAAAAGACATTTAGATTAGATTTAAGCTTATATCTAGATTTGCACACCTTATAAGACTACTTATACTAAAATTTTAAATGTGAAAAGTCCCATGAGCCTTTGCTGCCTGAGGATACGTTGAATTTTCTCCATGTCCATGGGCTGAAAAGTAAAAAAATGTGGGCAACCACACTGGCTGCTAACTTAATCCTAAAAAATAAAACRACTTTACTTTGCATTTCATATATTATTGCATTTGGCCCGTGGCCCTCAGACTGATTTGAATTTTGGCCCTTTCAGGGAAAATGTTTTTTAATTTTGGCCCTCTCARGAAAAATGTTTGGGCACCACTGATCTAAATAAATGAAAACTAATATGTTGGCAACATTTCTTATCAGACTTTTTAAAAATTTTCAGTGCTATATAACCGTAATTATGTATGTAATTTCTGAGTTGACTTGAGTACCATGATTAGGCCTGTCACAATAATAAATGTAGCTTTGCAATAAATTGTCTAAAAAAATGTGATAAACGATGACATTGTTTGTAAAAATGTTTAAACTAATATAATGATACCCCCACCACACAYACAAACTGAATTATGAAACWYASAGAAGTTTACGAGATTTATGTAGGWAAAAAAAGTTACGGACTGACCTAGACTGGAGATTGGGAAAATAATACACAACAACAGCTACTGAAGCTTCCTCTGGCTTCATAAAAGACTTTTGGTCACCCACACATTGCTTACAAAGTTTACAGAAGTTTCCAAAATTTACATAGTGTAAAAAAATAATAAACTTTTAGCGAACCCAAGGTTTGGCATGGCACCCTGAGGGCATCCCGAGGCGTTGCCAGCTGAAAGGAGGCTTCTGAAATCCAAAGACTCCCTTATAGCTTAATTAATGACTGTAGCTCTCATGCTACACAGGTTACAAGACCACACACCTGGTAAATACCTGACACAAGAGTTTTCTCCATATGCTAAGGAGTTGAAAAGAGTAAGACACAAAGAAAACAAACAAGCAGGCAAATGAAAATGATAAACCCCATTTTACTTATCATGCATTTGATTGATCACTACAGGCCTAACCATGGTCAAGGGGACAGCCTCAGTTTAACCAGTAAACTGGGACTTACCGGTAATACCTAYGGTAATATCTCTAATATGACTGTCATAAGATTTGTTTTAGCTTTGCTGCAGTGCTCCCCTTGTTTCTACAAGCTTGGACCCCCTAATAACAGCTTTACAAGACGAATTTAAGTGTTTGTGTGTGTTGTGTTTAACTCACAGGTTTCTGCTCAGGAAGCCACTCTGTGACACTTAGCTTGTTAATCTCTGTCGTCATCTTCTTTCTGTGTCCTGGTTTAGTTATTCCAATAGCTGTCAGATCCTACACACAAGCAAACATGCATCTTAGAAGGAAACCACGACGATGTTTTCTTCCACAAGTGCAGTAAAACCTCAGYGCCCAGCAGTGTATCTGACTGTGTCGGTCAGTCACACACACACACTCAGACACACGCAGGCATACAAACCAAGAGGAAAAACTCGCAACACAAGAGACAGCATGACATCTGATGAACGCTTCTGCCAATCGAGAAGAAAGAACTGAAGATGCAAATGTCTCTAAATCAAAAGAAAAGCAAAGGAAAAGAGAAGCGAATGTCTGCAGTGACAGGAAGCATCAAAAAGACTTAATTAGGTTGATTCTTCGAAAGAATCTTTCACATTTTACTCCTAGTTTTGTAACAACTAAAAACAATTATCTTGTAAAACCAAAGAAAAAACAGTGCCAGGGAGCAGAACYTTTTTATAATTATATGTTGTGCATTTCTACTTTAGTATTGTGTCTGCCCAATTCACAAGTAATAGTAGACACACAAGAATCCACTAACATTTGCACTTGCCACACATCCGAACACGCACACAAACTTACATATCATAAACAATACAAAGTCACGATTAGTGGTGTGAAAACTGTTTCCTAAAAAAAGAGTGTAGAATTAAGTACAGGTTTAGACTCTCCTCATGCATTTACAGTGCAAATACATACAAATAATTTATAAATGCTGTAAATTATTTATATGTCAGTGAGCATGGTGGAGCCCCTCAGTCTTGTTGCTCAGACAGAGGCAGCAGGAGGAGCAGTGCTGAAGGTGATGGAAAAGTCAGGAGGTCAATTTATTTATAATCCTGCTGTGAGTTTATTGAGTTTGAGTCTTGAATGTGTTTAAGTGCAGCTGGCTCAACTGGGCCGATGTAGAATAATCAGAACAACGTAAAAAAATAAATAAATTATTCATTCATTTTATGCCTAGTTTGACATATTTAAACTGGAACTAATTTTATTTCGTTGTTTTGTTTTTATTTAAACTGAATCAATTATTTTCAGGCGTCAGTAAATCCTACTGTAGTCTTTAAAGCAGGTTATTTTTAAAATGTTAAACATAAGAGTAAAAAAAGGAGTGATGCAATGTAAGGTCAGCATAAATATTTGTGTACTCCTTCCCCAGGAGGGTTAAAACATCTTTAGATGTGCACTGAATAAATACTTTGTTCAGAAATTCAGGGTTTTTTTTTTTATCAATAAAATTAATTCACATTAAAATCAAACAGGCATGACAACAAAGATTTTAGTGAATTTCARTGTTCAAATCTGGCAGTGTAGTAGTAACATTTCTGTGGTCATACAGAAGCAGGGTGGTGCCAGATCAGGGGTGAAAGGTCAAAAAGTAAACCACAGCAGGTTTGACAGGATGGTGGAAAAGGGGCAGCTGAGGTCACATTTGTTGAAGTTATTTTATAACCTTTAAGGGAAATGATGCACATGCAGCTTRGAAACATCAAGGACAGCACAAATTAAAGTCCAGCAGACTTCTTTACATTGTGGTCCTTGGAGGCGAGGGGGTACACTCTCTGGGGGTTCAGGGATCAGTTGCCTTACCTCCGGAGTCATTCGGCTAATGGTGGGTAAGTCATACCCAGCACCCAGGAAGTTTGGAGCGTAGACCTGCAGCTGAAAGTCGCTCAGCCATTGGACAACGGCCTCTGAGCTCTAGGGGAGAGAAGACAGGGGGCATACGGTCACTGGCACCGTGTTTGCTTCTTTAACAACCATTCTTCATCAACACGGCCAAGTGGGGTCCAACTTAGTCACAACAGTAAGAAGCATTTCATCATGGCTGTCCTGCTTTAATGCCTTTAAGAATCTACAAAATGTGTTTCTAGATGATGATAATACTGATTTGTTGACTCTTAAAAACAGATGAATTAGCCCTGGTTATCTCTTTTGGCTCTGTAGTGAAAAGCAGACTGTAAAATAGGAGAGAAAATAACCTACATCAGTCGAATGCTACAGCTAAAGTTGCAGGTTAATACACATTTGATACCCTYAATACACTGTATATACAAAAAAAGGTAAAACTAAATAACCTAAAATTGACAATTAGTTACAAAGAAGAGCTGGTGTGGGGTTGTTCAAATGATTTAACTGTGGTCAAAAGTCCTAGTGTTTTTACATCAAAGGTTTCACATGTTCTAACTTTATAAAAGAATATGCTAAGACTTAAATTCTAGTAAACAGCACCTTAGATGAACTACAACACACAAGGTTTTGCACTATTGCATTGTTTGTTTCATAAATACTAAGCCAAAACTGCAAATAAAGTCCACTCTTATTACTGAACAGCCAAATGCCACTAATCAAAATGACTTGATTAACTGGTCACATGATGAATAGTTCATATGCTGGCTATTAGCTAAAAACACCTTTAAAAGCTAAAATGGACGTCAGCAATGATCTGAAACTGCTACAGCCCATCAGTTGGGCAAATAACTGATTTTCTAAGAAGATGAACTGTCTCCTGGCAAAAATGAAACCCCAAAAAATCCCACCTCACCCCCAAATAAATAAATTGAAAACCAGCAGCATATGAAGCGTACCAAATTTTCATCATGGTGACAAAGACAGAGGGCTGCTGATTTCAGCCCTTTGTAATCATTGAATCATCTATGAGTTACTTCGTATAGGTACTCAAAACTAGGCAGGTGTRATGCCATCTGTCCAACAGATAAAGTAAATCATGCAAACAATCAATTTTATATTCAACTTCAAGATCAAAAGTATTGATTAAAGGTGTGATCTAAGACTAGTCAGGTGGTAAAGAATAAGTAGTAACAAGGTTTCTGACATGGTCTTGGGTACCTGGATGCCCCTCTTCCTGTCTCCAGTGCAGGACATGCTCTCTAATCAACCTGCTGTTTGGTCCAGTCTGACAATAGATTGTTTGTTTTGATACAGACCATTTCGCTGTCTGAAAAAGACTAACCTGGGCATGGCTACTCACTGAACATGCTTACACTACAGGCCTCCAGGTTCTGGTTTGAGTTTGATGGCAAGCCATGCTTGGAAGTTTGTTTGTATTGTGTGCCAGTGACTCACAGTCCAGACACAAACCTCAGAACTCCATCTCAGGTGCAGTTCAATCATCTACTTATATGTTCTAACAGTATGATCAATGCACATAGCTGTACAGTCTTGATGACATCACTGTTTTGGCTCTAAAGTTTCTAAAATTAGAAAAAGTGGTTTTTAGTTTTCAAGCTCCTCTGATGTGAAACCAGATTACAGTTTTTGTTCATGTGGTTGAAACCCTGTTTACTTTTGGGACAAAGCTTTAAACCTTTCATTTTGATATTTTTGATTAAAAGTAGTTAAATGTCCTGATGCATCTCAGTAATCCAGATAGAAAAAAATCAAAAAGAAAAATAAATATGTCCTCTAGACAGGTTTTTCTTTAAAGGCACAGTGTGTATGATTTGTTGTTTTCAGCGACATCTAGTGGTTGAGTGGTTGAATCATCCTCCCTGG